CTACGCCCCAAGGGGTGGCCCAGCCCATAAGACGAAGCCTTGCGGGGCACGACGCTGTTCGGCGTCTCCCGCAAGACACCGAGAATATATCCTGAAGATACTACGAGATCTGTTAGGATACGTATGATCTCATGATTCCTGTAATCTGTTATTACTTTCTTGTTTCTCTCAGATCTAACCGACTTGTAATCCTGCCCCCCGGACCATATAAGGCGGGCAGGGACCCCCTCCAAACTCACGCAATATCATACGATAGCCAATACAATCCAACAGACCATAGGAGTAGGGTATTACGTCATACTGACGGGCTGAACCTGTCTAACTCGTGTGTCTCTATTGCCTTCTTGTTCTTGATTACACGTCTCTCTACCGATTAATCTACCTTCGTGGGATACCCCTCGAAGGACTGCCGATGATATTCTGTTGACAAGCCTCCATGTTAGGAGGTCTTCAATAGAGCCTCCACATTGATCCTCACGTGACACAATATGGGAAAAAATATAAACCCTGGAAATTCTCATAGAAATTAGAATAGTTTCACTATCAATTTTGTAGACTCGTAATCATAATTGCCAATAACAGCTTTCGGGTCTATATTTTTATAGTTATCAGATCTATTTTGTTTCCTAAAAAGTTACCCACTTCTGTGGTTATAAAAATGCATAAAGTAACCCCTAAATTTACTTTTAAACTACCCACACTTGCTATTATAAAAGATAATTTATAGTAAGCCCCTAAATTTTTCATTTAAATAATTGCCTCACAAATGCTCTTTGATAAATTTTGAGGTGTTACTTTAGATAATTTTATATGTTTTAATTGAAACATTGTGATATATCAATACTAAGCATTCATTTTATCACATATAAAACAGTACTACTGCACATGCAGTCCTTTCATAGAGGAAATTCAACATCTAAGTGCCATGTTGCATGGTAAAATAACCTTATGTGCTATTTTAGTGACTAAGAATACAACCTTAGGACCTATAATCATGTCCATTGTTAAATAAAATATATAAAATGAAAATTATGAATAAAATATACTATAAGCACGATATCAACTTAACATGTAGATAAAAATTGCAATAACTAATAAGATCAAAAGCCGATCCATGATATAAAAATAAGGACGCAATAACCAGAGTCGTAATAACTTAAGCTACGATTTAAACTAAATACATATTAAAGATCCATAGAGGTACAATGCAAATGATGAAAACACAAATAGTGTAATTGATAAGTTATCACAACCACAAAGATAGTATAGATATATAAATGGGTATTTTTGTTAAGAAATGGATGAGAGAAAGAGAGGGAGACAAAAATATAAGCAATTTTGATTAGTTCTATGTACTAAATTTGTTCACAAAAACTTTTAATACTTATGTAACGTAAAATTCTAGGCCGTGTGCCAGAGCATGGGTTGATGGGCTTGTATAAAGAAATTAGAGAGACCGCAACAATAAGCCACTTTGATTTAGATATATGTCCCTCTAAATTTATCTATGAATTACAAGCACGGTTGATAGACTAGCTAGTATATTAGTGTTGTCCGCCATTCCTCGTCAGCTTAGTTTTCTTATGTAATTAGTAGGTGCATGCAATGCAACTCAGTACTTTGTGCTAGTTTGTACATGAATTTCAGTTGTCTGTTCTAGTTTGTGTCCTCCAAGGTATATATAGTCTAAACTATGTGCTATCAGCAACTACTACACTACAGTTCCGCATCACCATCAGACATGTGACGCTAAAAAATTTATTAAGTGATGGATGATCAGTCGCTTTAGACATGTGACGCTAAAAATTTTATTTATCGATGGATGATCAGTCGCTAAAGATAACTCACGGACTATTTGTCGCTTATTCCCCATTTACTGATTGAATGTCTGTCGCTATAAATATTCATAATTACCGTTAATCCATCGGTCGCTAAAAATAAATATACTATCAATCTGTCCATCGCAAAAAATAGGCCCCACACCCAGCTCGCGCGCACTATAGTGACAAACCCTAGACTCTTCTCTCCCCAAATCCCAAATCCAGAGAAGCGCCGCCACCTATTCTTTCCTCTCTAACGGGACGCCGCCAATTGTTTCCTCTCCCGCCATGCTCGCTCTCTCTCTCTCTCTCTCTCTCTCTCTCTCTCTCTCTCTCTCTCTCTCTCTCGTCTCTCCCTCCCTTCCAATTCCAACCCGCTCTTCCATGAATCCAACCCCGGCGCTCGATCGCCTCTCCCTCCCAAATCCCGCCCCACGCACCCAGCCCAAAGCCCCCGCCCGCCCCGCCCTCAGAACCCCCGCGCCACCCTGCTGCCCCACCTACTACAACAGCGCCTCGCCCACCCCAAAGCCCCCGCTCGTTCGAGGTAAGATGTTTGTCCCTAAAACGTGGTAACAGACGCCTTGTTCTCACCTCCTCCCACTTTTCTCTCTCCTTAGAGCCTTCCTCCCGGCGAGGCTGGCCCTCTTGGAACGTTAGGAGGCGGCATCGAGCTGAGGACGTGACATCATCAATCGAGGATGCATGGTGGTGGCGGATCTGGTGCACCGACTGAATATGTGGCAACGCAGGATGAGGTGGCGGTGGCTGGAGCCGGGATTCAACGGCAGTGGATCTTGAGCGCGGGCCGAGGACACCACGGCGGTCGATCTCGCGTCCCCAATTGGTTCAGCAGAATTTGTTTGTTGCGCCTCTGATCCCCCTCGGTTCCATGTAAATTGTTTGGCCCCTGTTCTCTTCTTTAATTTCTGTGGCAGCCTGGTAGGCATGCTCTTATTCTCTAATTGCTCCTTCCTCTGCTTCTGTTTCTCTATGGCAGGTCATCACTGAAGAGATCTTCCGTTTCTCTGTGGCAGTACCCCACTGAGGAGGAGAGGATATATAGTGCCTTGCTGAGGAAATCAAGCCACATGTACAATCACATGTTTTGTCGTTAACAGACTATCTGTCAGTAAAAGTGTTGTCTGTCGCTAAATATTTTTTAGCGATAGCACTTGCACTGTCTGCATAAGTCTATCGCTATAACTTTTTAGCAACAGATCGTCTGTCGCTGTATCCACTTTTAGCGTCAGATTGTTCATCACCAATCTTGGTGTTGTGGTGTAGTGAACACTGGTTCCAAGGTTAGTTATTATTTCTTATTTTCCATCCTAGTGAAACAACTCAGTTCGTTTAGTGTTTTGTCATAGTTGTTTGGTGGCGACCCACCCACTCTCTTTAATGTACGTAGAAATGTCTAAAACATATATCCAGTGAAGCTATAAATATTACTTAAATATATATCCTGAATCAAAATGGCCTCTATATTGAAAAGTAGGCAGCATTGCATTGGAACCTTCTCCACCAGCTGTTGAATATTCGATTGCTTTTATTTAGAAGCGAGATGGAGAGCATAGCTAGAACTGCTGAAATGAAAGTTTTTGGTACTCGTACGACTTGGGTCGCAATTGGGTTGTTGGATGCGTGAACTGCATGCCTGGCTCCTTGTAGCATGGAAAATTCAGTGGACTCTTGCTTGTCGATATTCTTGTAAAATTATTGTGAAAGTAGTGTACTCAAAACACAAAGTCCTCGTCCAGGCAATATATACATGCTGACTAATTAAGCTTCTTCACAACACCAACTGCTCTGACCTTGAGGCCTTGATCAGGGCTTACATGCTTGCCCTATTCACAACTACTCTTGGAAGCAAATAAAACATCCACAACATATGCATGCATCTCTGAGGGCCGGGCCTGTTGACTCCTTTTCATATATTTAGTCCGACAAACAAAATAAATGAGGGCAACAAAGCATAGAGACTTTATTTAGAACAAACAGATATTCCATATTTACAGTACCAGAGAGAGAGAGAGAGAGAGAGAGAGAGAGAGATGTTTGGAAATGTACTATTAGTATATGTGATCTTGATGGATAGCGTAGTCAAATTGTACAGTTTATTAAATTGTCAGTGCTATAGCTCTGGCCATAGATAAATTAAATACAAGTATATGACCATTGTTCTCCCCAAGCAGCCACTACCACTAACAGGCATCATGTCTATGAATTACTTCCATGATGGTGATGTGAGTTGAAGGGCGGGCCTAGTGCAAGCGGTAGAGTCTTACCGTCTGTGATCGGAAGGCCCCGGGTTTGAGTCGCGGTCTCCTCGCATTACACAGGCGAGGGTAAGGCTTGCCACTGACATCCTTCCTCAGACCCCGCACAGAGTGGGAGCTCTCTGCACTGGGTACACCCTTTTTTTTATGGTGATGTGAGTAGATATGTATGACCCTTGGCCTCTGAATGCTTCCGACTATGGACTATATCTGCATGGTAGCACAGTGTGCAGAAGAGCCTCTGAATGCTGATGTGAGCACATATGTAATTCTGTCTCTGAATGGTTCCAACCATATATCTGCAACTGTTGATGATCAAAATCTTGATCAGTTCAGCCGAACCGTCCCTAGTAGGATGCTAGGGTAACTTTTATCAAACCATTCAGAGAAACACGGTTTGATAAAAGAGAAACACGGTTTGATACAATACATACGTTCCGATTGACTAAAAGCAAAGCTCCATGCTTGCACGCTTTCCTAAATTAAAGACAGTCTGCATACACAGTAGCAGACTAGCAGTGTGAATTGCGAAAGGCGCGAGTGATTCCTAGTAGCTAGCTAGCTGTTGCCTGTTGGGCAAGCAACCTTGATTGCCGGCTTTTCAACTCGATCGAAGTCCAACATAGTAGGTGAAGGTGAGGTGAAGCCGGTACATGACATAATGATCTAACCTAATCATATATATATATAAATATATTCATGCATTCATGGAGTGCTTGGCTGCTTGCTATATACTACCTAGCTTCAAGCTTATACTAACAGACTGAGTCCAGGAGTTTCTGCTATAAATATGGATGTCCTGATGTCCATGTTCCCCAGCAAGCTAGCTACCTCCAGAGCTCCAAGCAATACACCTCACTGCACTCAGAGGCACAAAGACTAGCCTGTAGCCCTGTACGAGATGGCTGCAGCAACATCAGCTGCAAGATGCAAAGGCAAAGGCGTCGCTCTCCTCTTGCTCCTTGTGTTGCTGGCCGGTACCACCGGCACCTCGTCGGCGCAGCTGTGCACCAGCTTCTACTCCCACTCGTGCCCCGGCGTGTACGACGCCGTCAGGTCGGTGTTGCAGGCCGCCATCGCCAGGGAGCAGCGCATGGGCGCCTCCATCCTCCGTCTCTTCTTCCACGACTGCTTCGTCCAAGTACGTACTCCTACATACAGTAACAGTACTCGCTCGCTCCGCCATTATTAATTAGTAATTACTAACACAATCAAGCAACTTGTGATTATATTATATATATACACGTATATATGTTTAATAATAATGTGATCGATCATGGTGTAGGGTTGCGACGCCTCGCTGCTGTTGGATGACACACCCAGTTTCAGGGGCGAGAAGATGGCCAACCCCAACAACGGCTCCGCCAGAGGATTCGAGGTCATCGACGCCATCAAGTCGGCCGTCGAGAAGGTTTGTCCCGGCGTCGTCTCCTGCGCCGACATCCTCGCCATCGCCGCAAGAGACAGCGTCGTCATCGTAAGCCTAGCTAGCCGGCCCTTGTAGTATAGTTATATTCTTTTTGAATCACTTCAGAGCTAGAAAGATGCATGAGACTGATGAACCTGCAACTGCAACTGATGGATTCATGCATGCACACATGCAGCTGGGTGGTCCGAGCTGGGACGTGAAGGTTGGGAGGAGGGACTCGAGGACGGCGAGCTTCAGCGGCGCCAACAACAACATCCCGCCGCCGACGTCGGGCCTCGCCAACCTCACGTCGCTCTTCGCCGCGCAAGGCCTCTCCCAGAAGGACATGGTCGCGCTCTCTGGTGCGTATTTATATAATTCCCGCTACATTAGTAACTAACTACTAGCTGTAAATAAATAATGCAATGCTAATTCTCCAAGAAATTAAACTTGTCTCTCAACTTTGGAGATATGCATATAAGAATGTGAATTTAGCAATTCCACAGTACTGTTTCTCAATCACTAGCTCAATATAGATATCTGGCAGAGATTAAGTTTATGTGCTAGATTAAGTTAAGTGGTATACCAAGATATAAGTCATTAAATATCTCTAGTTTCAGCTATAGATATTTGTAACTTTGTCTCATGTTTAATTCATTCCAAGATATAAGTCATTAAATATTTCTATATGTGTCGCTTTTTGCCTCGATCTATTGCTAGGAGCTCACACCATTGGCCTAGCACGTTGCACCAACTTCAGAGCCCACATATACAATGACACCAATATCGACGGCAGCTTCGCAAGATCAAGGCAATCGGTTTGCCCTAGGACCTCAGGTTTTGGTGACAACAATTTGGCGCATCTGGACTGTCAAACCCCAACTGTCTTTGAGAACAACTACTACAAGAACCTTGTTTGCAAGAAGGGGCTTCTACACTCTGACCAGGAGCTCTTCAATGGTGGATCCACAGATGCGCAAGTCCAATCATATGTTAGTAGCAAGGGCGCATTCTTTGCGCACTTTGTGACTGGCATGATCAAGATGGGTGACATCACGCCATTGACCGGCTCCAATGGGGAGATCAGGAAGAACTGCAGAAGGATTAATTAAGAGGCAGTGCACACTAGCAACCTATCATTCTATCGATCTGTTGAGGATTTTCAATAACGTCCTACTTTCTTTCAAGACTGTAATCCTTCCATTTTACACAAAATTGTTAAATCATTATGTTGTACTAGTTTGTTGAGATTATGTCTGTTTGTTTAAATATAAGTAATAATCTATCATTTGTTATGAATACAAACCTTTTCTTTTTTTTCTAGAACATGACTTCACGCGTATTTCATTAAGAAGAAGAGTGCCGAAAGAACGGCTTACACAACGCAACTACGGGCGGACCCATAGTGCCAGCTACAGAACTACAGAGAAAGTGGTTAGGAACCTAAGCGACAAACAGAACAGAAAGAACGGCGGAAGGGGAGACACGTCCACCACAACCCTATCTGACTGGACCTGCAAAGGAGAAATACAACATCGCTGGGCTGCCAACACAAGAGGTGAAGCCATGGTGGCAAAGCATCCACCAAGAGGAGAACGGCGGCAAAGCATCCGCCCAAGCAACGCGGCGACAAAGCATCCGCTAGGGTCAATGCGGCAAAGCATCCGCAAGAAGGGGCATCACGCGCACGGTGGAGCCCAAGCGACGTTGGCGGCAAAGCATCCGCCAGAACAACAACGACGGCAAAGCATTGGTCAAAGTATCCGCTGCGAGGAACCAAACAACTGTGGCAACACCCGGCAGGCTGGACAGATCCATGCGAAGAGTAGCTTGAAGTACACACAGACACAGCACAAGAAGAGCAACTCTGGCGAGAGCAACGGGAGATGGGCTGCAGCAGTGCTCCAGCGATGCCTTCAGGAAGGAAATTGACGTCCTCACACGCCAATCAACGCTGGAACAAGCACACGAGTAGGACTTTCAACCCCGGCCTGGCCCGGACGAACCGAAACTTCGACGACGCCTCCAAGGAGGTAGATGGCACATGCTGTGCCGCCGCCGCCGGCCCGGAGGAAACGGGCAGGGTTTTCACCCAGTTTCTGTGAGTCCGCAAATGCAGGCCACTCGTGGCACCCGCAGTGACAGCACCAACGGCAAAGCGCCAAAGCCGCCAGCACACCAGCGCAGCACTTGCCAACAGCCCATTGGCCGCCGGCAACTCGACCGTCAGAGGAGGGCATATCCGGCCCCAGCCACCACCGCCGTGGTCCTGGACGCCACCAGAGAGGGGAGGCCACCGGCCGATCACCATCGCCGCGGGCCAGTAGTGGAGCACCAGCCTTAGCCACGGCAGGTTAGCCACCAGGTGACCACGAGCCGGCCAGCACCAGGCTGGCCGCACCGCGCACGCCCTGCGCGGAGGAGAGGCGACGCCACACGAAGAATGAGCGGACCCGCCCCAAAAGCCACAGGAAGGCGCAGATCCAGCCAGAAACAATGACAAACACTAGATCCGGAGCAGAGCTCCCGAGATCCAGCCATGGAGGTCTCAAAACAGCCTCGAGCTCGCCGGAGTTGATAGAGAAGAGGACGGGGCTGCGGTGGGAGGCCGTTTTTTTGCGCCACCGCTGGCCGCACGCCGGGGAATGGCGGCGGTGGCGGCCGGAGGGGAGGCCGGAGGCGTGGGGGTCCGGCGGCGCCGGCAAGGGCCCCCCTGAGTCCCACGTTTGGGAGCGCTCGGGGGTGGGGGTTCTGTGGGTACAAACCTTTTTCTTGAGTATATATATGCCATATACTTTTTGCATGTGAACAACTAAGGTGCTTTCTCCAGCTCCTGTGTACTAAATCGGTTAATTCTTTATTTACAATTGTTTGATCGAACACATATATACTCTAAATTAAAGCTAATAAAGATGCTCTAAAGTACGATGCCATAACATTATTATTATGTGATTTTTTTCTTGCTTTGACTGGTTAAAGATCGAGAGTCTAATTAATCTCGCGGCATGCATGTCTTAATTTCTCTGCGTGCTTGGTCTAACTTAATTTGCGGTGATAGCGACAAAGCAATGCAAGAAAGGTAATATAGGAGTAGGGCTACTATATATAGCCGTTAGGTATGGTGCACGCGCGGTCACTATTTTCGTGCAAGCACACATGTCAATGTAGCTGTTGGTTTTTGTGTTTTACTTTGTTTTCCAAGAAGGTTTATCAAGTACGAAGGACAATTGGATCTTATCGAGATGCTAACTTCTGTTACGTACTAAAATAAACAGACCTTAATTGCTACGGAAGAACAATTGATGAAAGCCCTTTGTGTTCAATCCGTGAATTCATAGCTTCTAACTAAAAGCATCATCAAGCATTTTTTGGTTACTACCCATGCATGAAGGACAGATTGAACACAAAGGGCCTTCTTCAGAGAAAAAAAACTATGAATTCACGGATTTTTTTTTCTTTTGACAAAGCCAACCTAAGATTATGTTCTTTGTAGTCAGCAAGTTATGGAAGCTTTTGATCATGTCTTCGTTCATTGTGGTGCTTCTAAAACTTATTGGGCATCAATCGGGCTGCACAAGTGCTGAATCTAGATAGCCTTGGTTCATTACTAAATCCCAACAATGAGCAGGGGGTGAGTGTGCGTGCGTTGTGGGTGTCTACGTTGTACTGTGTAATTCTAAAAACAAAACAATGAGCAGGGCATGTGTGCCAACGTGGTTGCTCAGGTAAGTGGTGGCAAGGAGCGGCCAGGAGATTCGACAAGGCACAACCCACTTGGTGCCCCCTTCGAGTTCCACAGCTTCTCCTCCGAGCTTCCCCTCCCTCTCTAATCTGCCTGTCTGCGTGAATGCATACCTGGGATTGATCTAGCACAATAAGTGGGTCTCGCTCTATGATTGTTGTTGATTTTTTCCAATTTATTTTTGCTGTGACTTGGTTTTTATGGGCTGAGATGGACTGTCGTGCTGTAGGGCTGCAGGGCTTATCGTGCCGGCATGACAAGGCTAAGTAGGCTAAGGGTCACGCCTGGGCCTTGTACGTCATGGCAGCACGACTAGCTAGTCATGCCTTATTGTGCTCGCGTGTCTGTGCCAATTTGAACATCTATAATGTCGGGTCGTAAGCCTAGAATCCATAAATGATATCCTATTGACCCGCAATGAAGCCCCCTCTCACTTGGTCATAGCTGTAAAAAGTTTCAGAGGCGCTTAGCTATGGTGGAACGGCGTTGCCCCAGTGCAGGGTCGCCGGCTTCGTGTTAATCTTGATTAGTACCAAACAGCCTGGTACCGGTGGCTTACATAGGCGCCGTATGTAACAATCAGGGAGAGATATCCGGCCGGTCTCTACTATATTTAGTTACAATCAATCTCTTATCAATCTCCTATATTTGGTTAGGATCTCCTATCATCACGGCACGATATCAAATCCCTGATTGACTTACACGGCAAGACATGAATACAATATTTGTTTTAACACTCCCCCTCAATCTAAACTTCTCAAGTTGAGATTGCTCTTGAACATCTCCAATTGTCGTACAGCCAGTGGTTTTGTGAACCCATCAGCGACTTGATCCTTTGTAGAGATATACTCGATATCAAGAAGTTTCCTTGTGACCCTTTCTCTCACAAAGTGATAATCTACTTCTATATGCTTTGTGCGGGCATGAAAGACTGGATTAGCTGAAAGATACTTAGCTCCAATATTATCACACCATAACTTGGCAGTCCTAGGCGCCTGAATTCCCAATTCATATAACAGAATTTGTATCCACATAACCTCTGCAGTTGCATTTGCTACAGCCTTGTATTCTGCTTCTGTGCTTGATCTGGACACAGTGGATTGTTTTCTTGCACTCCACGATATGAGATTGGATCCGAGGAAAACAGCAAACCCTCCAGTAGATCGACGATCATCTAGATCACATGCCCAGTCTGCATCTGAAAATGCACTAACCAAAAGAGAGTTTGTTTTACTGATACGAAGGCCAATCTTCACAGTATATTTCAAGTACCTTAAAATCCTCTTTACGGCCGCCCAGTGAACTGTTGTAGGTGCATGCAAGTACTGACAAACTTTATTAACAGTAAAAGAAATATCTGGTCGAGTCAAAGTCAAATACTGCAATGCCCCTACCACACTTCTATACACCGTAGCATCCTTTGGCCCAAGAGGAGTACCTTCATGTAAGGACAATTTCTCTGACGTAGATAAGGGAGTGCTTACTGGCTTACAATCCATCATGCCCACACGCTGCAACACATCTCTAGCATATTTTTCTTGAGTCAGGAGAATACCATCTTTTACCTTGCTTACTTTTATCCCAAGGAAATAATGTAGCTCTCCGAGGTCCTTGAGAGCAAACTCCTTTCTCAAATCCTGCAGCAGGCATGTGGTGGCTTCCTGTGTAGAACTAGCAACAATGATATCATCAACGTAGATAAGAACAAATATTGTAACCGGCCCTTTATGATAAAAGAATAGGGATGTGTCAGCCTTCGATGCTTTAAAACCTAGGTCACATAGCTTACTACTCAACCTGGAATACCACGCTCTTGGCGCTTGTTTCAAACCATAAAGAGCTTTATCTAACTTGCAAATATAATCTGGAGTTGCTTTACTCTCATACCCAGGTGGTTGACGCATGTACACTTCCTCTTCCAGAAATCCATGAAGAAAAGCATTTTGTACATCAAGTTGTCTCAAGCTCCAGCCCCTAGATACAGCAATAGACAAAATTGTTCTGATGGTAGCATGTTTAACAACAGGACTAAAGGTATCTTCATAATCAACACCATATCGCTGTTTAAAACCTTTTGCAACTAACCGGGCCTTGTATCTATCAAGACTACCATCTGCTTTCCTCTTTACCTTATATACCCATTTGCAATCAATAATATTAACTCCTTTTCTTGGTGGAACTAAATGCCAAGTTTGGTTCTTAATCAAGGCATCATACTCTGTATCCATGGCTGATTTCCAATCTTTACTATTCATAGCCTCATCTAAAGTCTGAGGTTCACCAGAAGCTGCAAAGAATCCATACCTGACCGTCCCATCTGTGTATACCTTGGGTTTGCGAATTCCAGCACGAAGACGGGTCCGAGGTGGT